CTATTTCTCTCCGAACATCCTGTAAGGAAACCTCCTGCGGCGTTGTAACGAGTACAGCACCATCGATGCCGCTTTCATTCAAGTACTGAACGACACTAAGATGCTCATCTGAAGTGCCAGGAGGTGTGTCGATGACGAGATAATCAAGATCACCCCAGTCAACATCTTTAAGGAACTGCGCAATGAGGCCATTCTTCTTCGGACCACGCCACATGACGGCGTCTCGCGATGAGGGCAGCATGAATCCGACGGACATGATTCCAAGATTATCCTGTACATAAACTGGGGACCAACCCGATGAAGATGAGTGCACTTGTTCTAAAGCAACGCCGAAGATAGTGGGTATAGATGGTCCACAGATATCGACATCCATAACACCAGTTTGTAGCTGTTCATCTGCAGCAAATGCCCAACCAAGCTGGGCAGTGAAGGTAGATTTTCCGACACCGCCCTTGCCGGATAGAACAAGGATCTTGTGCTTCACGGTGGCCATACGATCGCGAATAAAGGGTAACGCTGGGTCAGGACCCTTTGGTGTGTTGGAAGCGCAGATCTCTTGATTTGCGCATCCATTGCAGGCATCAGCTTTGCCAGCTAATTCAGATTCTGTGCCCTGTCATTCAGTGCAATTAGTGATGAGTGAGGAAAGTAGTAAACTTGATTGGGGCTTACAGGGCAGTGTTCCGGTGCGTTTGAAGGAACTGACAGAGCGTCTGGAACTACAGCTGAACGTTGTACTGCAAGCATCTTGAAAGTCGAGTGCAACGATCCTTACTAATAGCCGGTACAAAGCTTTAGTCACATTCCCTGAAAAGGATTTGCTTCTTTTCCATCAAATGCATCCACTCTTCATCGCAATTTCGTGCAGTAGCTCATGAGACGGTAACAGCGTTGAAATACGTCCCACTCTATCCCGCACTTGCAATAACAGAGTCACATAACCCATGCCTGCTGAAAGTATGAGTGGTGGATGCTCTTTCATTTGCGCATTTCGTTTTTTACCCTACAATCAGACTGTCAGTGTCGGTGCTCGAGTCATCGACTTGGACAAACATGTCCTATGATAGGCTGCCTCTTCCGCGTCAAAGCTTCCTTGCGTACAAGTAAATGGGCTTAACTAGGTTTGGCTCGAACACAGCTGACCAACCTGCCCCCCAATTCTGTCAACTTTCGGTTGACTACCCGCCAGCACAAAAACGATCCATGGCGAGATCATCTACATCCCACCCACAGTCATATTTTATTGATGTTCGAAATCACAGTCAATCCACGAAGCTCGTCCCGCCCTCTGACTCACAGATCCGGGTTTTGACACTTCGACTCGCTTATAAATACTTTACTAAATCCGTTCATTGGATTCATCACGCCGTGGTGCCGAGCGGTGAACTCGATCCAGATTCCAGAGCGCCGTGCCTTTGAGACAACCGAACAAAAAGATTTTTTCACAGTCACGTATGAGCCGCTGTCTCATCATTCATTTGCTAAACCTGGCATTAGGATGGCCCACGCCGTCGGACACTTGTCAGCAGCAGGCCGCTGTTGCGGAACACTTTTGACTGTTCAGTGAGTTATGCGACCTTGTCATGATTGTCCATCTCTCATTGAGAAACGAGAAACACCCCTATTTGGGCACAAGTGATGCCCCACGTCCTCGTCGATACCCAATACGTAAGCTTTCGTGCGTGTGCTTTCACACTGGTCATTGGACCGACAGCAAGATCTGAAGAAACATTTTGATTTCAGGTCTTACCATGGGGTGATCCAATTTATTTTTATTTTTACTGTGTATAGTAAAAATGTCAACTTTTTCAATTGAATAAACACCAGTTGAATATACCGGAGCCTCTATGTAATTGTTATGACCGCAATTTGTAAAGTTGAGTTACACCAAATTGCGCACGACTTCGGACCCGGGCACGAAGGATAAGGGCTATCAGCCAAACTCAACCCCAAGACCAGACAGAGTTATGCACTGTAGGGCAAGTCGTTAACCCTGAAAGACACCGTTGCTTTGGAGTGTCAGCTGCAGTGAGCCTGGAATGTAGGACTCGGGCATCCGCCAACTGTAAGTGCTGACCCCAAACCTTCCTGCCTTGATCACCCCCCGATAGGGGGTGCCCCACTTCAACGGGTTTTCGGAAATATCCTGGTATCCGAAATACGCCATCACAGTTATTGCCAGTACTTCTATCGGCAGCGCCATGTTCGTCGTTCTTATCGCCGCCTCTCGAGCATAGTGCAACGGCTGTCTGACCGCCACGGAGACCGCGGTTGTCAAGTAAGGCGTGACCACGAGTCGAAATCACCTGTATGCGCCATACTAGATGACTTCCGGCCAGATGAGTCTATGTCGTGCAATATCCAGCGCTGAAGCAGTCCTTCTCCCATGATACGGCTCACAGAAATCATTATCTTAGCGGTGGGCAGCGACGTACCAATCCATCTGTTCGGATAATCATTTACCTGTCATGCAAGACCCTTGGTACTTAATATCTGGAGGTAAGCTGATCTCTTGATTGACAGTTATATGATGAGGTTGCGTCGTGACACAGAAGGCTCAAAGATATTAATGAGCAAACTCAGAGAGCAGAACAGGACCTATGGTGATGTGACCGTTGTCCCGATGAGGTGGGACTTCTCAAACAAGCTCGGCGTTCGAAAATGGTGACCTACTCGAAGCAGGCGGAATGTTCTTTATATTGACTTTGTTATACTCAGATGTCCTACGAGATCCTGACACTGATTCTGTAGGATTTCTTCGGTAAACATAGTTACGTTGTCTCATACGGAGGAAGCGACCTTTATGTTTGATGGTTCAGAAAAACGAACTTGTTTTCCTGGATCTTTCCTGCAAGAAGATCCCCGCACGCTGCTGTAAGCTCATCACGTATTGTACTCTGCCAATTCGTTACCGAGCCGTCCATGACTTCGCATGCTCTATCAACGACTCATCACCACGGGATTCGCTCAAGCTACCTTGGCCAACGAGTGCTCAAGGTGTGTACCTCGCATCCTCTGAAACGGACCACCCATTGTGAAATTGATTCCTGATGCTACCTGTTAGAAGAAAAAAATCATATTTCTTACTTTATAGGTGAGACTAGATACCACCGTACGGACCTAGTAATATCTACTTTGGGCTTGCATATTCCAAATCGCGTATTGCGTCTCGCTGGACATGTTGATGTCCCCGATATTTTATTCATCTTTTGATTATGACGCTCATCACCCCTTTGCTTTGTCCGCCTATGTCGCTTGTCTTGCTGCTCAGTCTAACGGCATCGCCGCCAGCGAGCTCGTCGTCAAGCTAGTCGAGGCAATGTGACTTGCTCTTCTCTATCCATGCCACCGAGATCTACCAGGCGCCTGGCAGCAGATTAGTTGAAGCTACGCTTGTTATTTTAATATCATTTTTATCATCTATGCCTACCTCTCCGCTAACTGTTGCCGACTGACCAGTGCGATGGCATTGACACTATTCCCTGCAACTCTTCGCCGTGAAGTCATGAGACAGAAGGGGAATTTGTCGGTGACAAGGCGAGCTTGCATGTTGCCTGACTGTTTATGTTTTCTTATCACAATCTTCCAAGTTCTGGACTGGGTTCACACGTGGTCTGACTCGCATATGTTCGAGATCGGCGTTTGTTGCGTGCGCCTGATTGCGCTATGTACACAAGGTTACGCGGCCCGGGCGGAATACGTTGCGTAGCGCTCGGGTTCTCACAGCCAAGGATGTTGGGCTACCTCGAGGTTTGTGGGTTCTGATAGATCTGATGCTCACAGAAGCTACAGTGTTTATGTGAAGGTATTGTGCGCGAGCACGCAAATGATCATATAAATGCATTTAGGCTCGGGACTTTGGGGATCTATCTTGACTGGGATGTATCTTCTTAAGAGGTCACGTCACAAGTGTGGGTGAAAGAATAGAATTCTCTGGAATTCGTCCGGTTAGGTGTACTGATTTGGGGAACTCCTTTGACACTAGTGCGCCTATCTTTCGCCACACTACCGAAACCACGATTGAAACGCGGAAGCGTGATAGAATTGATGGCGCAAGTCTCCTCAGTCCCTGGGAGCACGCTGCAAGGAGTAAAACTCGTGCACGATGTATGTTCTATTTTACCGCGGTCTCTCGTAATGTTGATTCTATCTATGTAGATGTGTCATTCTGGCCTGTAAGCTGCAAGCTCCTACACTGCAAAGCGCATCATTATCTAGCAGTGGCTTCCGGCCGTGGGTAAAGATGATGTCGTCATGACATTCTCCTAGAGTGTCGTACTTACCGTTGTGGCGTGCTCTTGATGCGGGTGCCACAGAGGCGAACTCAAGGTACTAGAACAGGGGAGCGGACTTGAATCATACCTGCTTATGACGTGCGTTCCCAAGTCTTAGATCTTCTTGAGATTAAGAGAAGGCAGTTGTTCTACATATCCTCAGGGCGATCACGAAGCACTCTGGCGATGATAATGCTTTAGCAAGCTGGGCTATTTTATAAATTTAGACGAACGATAAACGAGACTTCTGTTTAGCGAAGCGTTTACAAGCCTATGACGAGAGATGACAACCTCAGCACCCTCTCCACCGATTTCGAAACGAAAAAAAAGTGAGGACCTTGCAATTGTAGGACTGTGTAGCTTATTTCCCCGGGATGTGCACAAACCCTGAGTTTGTACTGCAGAAAAAGCTTATCGTAGCTCGCGGCAAAATCCGTAATGCAGGTCAAGAGTTCACCCTTGCCGTACATGTACCTCATTTTCCCCCCGCACTCAATTAACTCGTAAGTACATGCTCTTGGTCACATGTGCCGGTCCCGCCGGCTTCTTTTAATAATAGTCTCTGGTCGCCGCTCACAATACAGTGCTGAGGTTGTCAACGCACTGATTCATAGCATCTCCCAGTTGATATATATCATTTCAAATCTCCGAGCTATCGGTTTGATTTCAATGTAAGTCCTTTGAGCTCATTGGTACCATGGACACTCACAGATATATTCGCACAGGTCAGTGCTCGAAACCCTAATGCTGCCATATTCCGCCGGGCCCAGATCGCCCTGATACGGACATTTCTCGCTTAACACTGTTTCCTCTCATATGGGAAGGGAAGCCTTTACGCCATCAGCCGAAGGCCCGAATGTCATAAGAATTTTGGAAGGAAAGCGATTAATACCCTTTCCCTTGCACCTTAACATTTCTATCAGCCCATCCCTTTTCACTCACATTCTCTATCTCCTCTGTACAATTTACACAATTACTTCCGCCGTGCACCCTTCATGTCATCGTCAAGACGCAGAGCGCCGCTCAGCATTGACTTCATAATAGTTGGAGCTGGTAGGTTGAACAGCTTGCAGGTTGTCCTTGTGTGTTCAATTGTCCTCATAAGGTGTTGCCGGCCTGGCCAGCGCGTTTAGATTATCCCAGGCAGGACATCGTGTTCGTGTTTTAGACAAAGCTCCAGGGCCAAACCGGGTGGGTCGTGTGTGCGAAAGCGAACGCAAATGCTGAACTTAATATTGTAGCGTGCTGGTGGTACACATCTCCCACCCAATGCTACCAAAGTTTTGATAGATTGGGGATTCAAGAACGAGCTACTGAAACACGGACTTAGCACACGTGCTAGCACGTTCATTTCAAGTAAGCAACTCGTAGCATGCAGTTGATGTTACGCTCCAGCTCATGAAACTGAACCTGGCAGTCGACACTGGTAAAGTCATTGGATGCCTCGAATGGAAGGAAGATGTTCTTCAGGAGACAGGAGCGGACTATATGGTCATACGTGTAAGTTTATACCTGCCTAAGCATCTTGGAAGGTGTTCATTCTGCTTGTCCTCTTTCTGGATGCCTATTTGCAGTATAGTGACCTCTATGACATGCTATATCGTGCAGCGGTCAACGCAGGTGCCCGAATAACATGGAATTCAACAGTCACCAAAGTACACGCAAATCCGGCCCGGGTCGAGCTTCGAGATGGCACCGTCCTCAAAGCAGACATGGTTATTGGGGCTGATGGTCCACGAAGTACAGTCCGCGAATCGATCGTAGGGTGGTCAAGCGAAGAGGTGCCAGAAGGGCACAGTGCTTACGTGTAATCTGCCTTTCTCATTGTCATGTGTCGGGAACCGCCGCTGACAAGGTAATCTGGAGCAGTGCAATTATACCCCGGGATGTCCTTCAAAATGACCCCGAGCTCAGTGACCTGACGCGATTTCATGAAAATAGACCTGACGTATGTCGTCCCGCCCTTTCCTTCCGATGGCAGTTGACATGGTGCCCATTCCAGTACCCGATATGGACTGGAGACTCTAGACATGTCATAGCCTTTACGGTGGTACGGTTTTCCCTTAGTGGTGTTTTTTTTTTGTGACTCAATGTTCACAGGCAGGAGGGGCTGAATTTGCAATACATGCATTCTTGCCTGACAGCGAAGTTGATGGGATTGGTGATCAAGATGGCTGGGATGTGATCGTTCCTCGGGAAAAGCTCCCTTTTCATTTTGAACCGAAGTACGCTAAATTGAATCAGGCCTGTTCCACAATTGAGCTGACATAATTTGATAAGACTGCAGCGCTTGTTAGATATACCTGCGACTTATCAGAGGGTACGACTTTTCCAAAGAGAATGCGCCGAAGAATGGATAGATGAATCGGGAAGGCTGCTCCTCATAGGAGAAGCTGCACATCCGTTATATGTAAGTCCATATGAGCTCAGAACAATAATAACAATAATATTAATAACAATAATAATCCGCAGCCTTGCGTTCTACAAAGTTGCAGTATGCAAATAGAGGACGCCGAAGTACTCGGCACCCTCTTCTCTCGATTACGAGCCTGGGATCAATTATCTCATTTGGCTGAAGCGTTCCAGGAGCTGCGCGAACCACGTACACGCGCCATATATTTAAAGGAGACGAAGGCTTTCGGTACGGTATGGGTGGGCCCTGGGCCAGAACGGGATGCGCGAGATCAGGCACTTTATAGCATGATGATGGAAGGGCACAAGGGCTGGGACGAGACCAAAATGCGCTGGCAGTGGGATGAGATTTGCGAGGTCTTCGGCTATAATGCGCGGGACGCAGCTGAAGACTGGTGGGTCATGTGGGGTATGCTGAGGGAAAGAAGCATAACAAGGGAAGGATTCTGTCCTTCCAGTTATACTGTGCCCTTCTGTATGGGTTCAACCGTCACGCATTACGCAGAACCAGTAACTTTGCGTAACTGACATCCTTTCTAGTTGCCACTTATAGACATCTTGTGTAGAAGAAATGGAGAAAAATTATACCCACCCGCAGCTACGTACCATTATACGCAGTATACCCCACATTTCCTCGACGACCTCGAGCTAAACATAACTTATTCTATTCTTTGCGAGGGGTCCATCAGCGTTCTCGACTTCCGCACCCAACCAACGTGTACATCGTGGGATCTACCATTGAGTCCAAAGTCCGAATAGGAGGACTACGTCGAACCTGAGTGAGTTGATTCCACGAGCCAATAATATGTCGCATGGTAACAGTAGCCACAGTAGCTGTTATACTCAGTCTGTAGGTTTGCAGTGTGGTATGACATTTACACTTTGTTTTCTGGCAAGATGCCTCATTGGTCTTGTACTGAACCTCAGCATGTGGGTCTCTAAAGACTGTCAGTGTTATATAGCAGCTGACTGGAATAACCTGATAGTAATGTAATGGAGATAGATGTGATGAAATGACACTAAGTGACATCATGCAAGTGCGGTCCGTGCCTTACTGTCTATGGAGGACGCGATTCTATCATTGCTCGCGAATAGCAACCTCTGTAAATAACATCAGTGGGCGTTCAACCTGACCAGGAGAGAATAGACATACTGAAAAACTCATATGATAGCCAACATAACGCGTTACTGGGCATATGCGTCAAAATTCGTGGTGACATTCCCCTTCCAAACCCTCTTATTCCATCTCTCCTCCATATTATACGAAGTGCGTCCAACATCCCCCCGACTCTTCGAATCTCGGGGTCATGTGATGTGCCTCTGGTTTGCAAAAGGGTTTTTGCGACATCCAGGGGAGTGGTGACACCTGCGGCCACGCCGCCCGCCATACCACCTGCGATCATATGCGTGATGGGTGAGTAGTCGCCCGATGGATTTAGGAGCTTTTTCATGTGTTCATAGACTGTGAACTGCACGGCCGTGAATGGGACTGACATCGTCAAGGTTGTGGGATACGAGACATAAAACGCGGAGAGGCCTTCTGTCTGGTACACGACACGCATTGCAGTAAACACGGAGCGGAACTCCGACTGATGCACCTGCATGCGTTGCTTGATGACTATAAGAAGTGTAATGGGTTTGGGAACGCGGCACGAGTAGCTGGGAGCTCACCATCGAAGGGGTTCATGAGGGCATCGCTAGCAATGGTCGCAGATGCACCTGCCAGTGCTGTGAGAACGCAATGGTGAGTACATGTGAACTTCGTGGTAGAAAGACAGGAGATTAGAATCCATACGCGAGGGATAAAAGGGGGAGAAAGCAGTGATCGACAAGGGACGGAAACGGATAGTGAACCTACATGTTGCAAGCCATTGATTTCCAGCAGCATTTCCACCCGCTAATTCCTTCATCACCTCATACGTCCCAAAGTGAACTGCGTGTGCTGGTCCCGCGCCCAATATGACTGAAGAGACTCCTCGCCACAGAGTTCGCATGCCTTCCGTAGATGATATCCGAGTGAATGCATTTCCGATCCCTGTATAAACAGCGGCAGGTGAGGTGGCGAATACTTGCATTCGTGTCTAGATACCCTGTTAGCCTCATGTCGTTGAACAAAGTTTGGAACCTACTTTTATGCTGTCTACAGGGAACATGACTGCGTGCTCGGTGATACCAGCCTGGACGAAAAGTTCAGTAGGCGTCCTTGGGACATTCCAGTGCGCAAATCCGTCGCAAGTACAAGTGCAAGGTAGGGACCGAAACTGAAGACTGTAAACTTACCAGAGCTCCTGCGAGCATGTTAACCTGTAGCTTTAGTTAGTGCGAATTTTACTGATAAACAAGCTGAATGGCTCACCCCAATGCTCGCGTCGAATGGGAGTGCCTCATAGTCGACCTCTTCAGCCATTCAAGGAGTCTATGTGAAAGAAAAGAAGGACAGTGGAGATGAAAGCCTGGAGGCTGGTTTTTTTTCGCCGTAGAGGAGTACTAGCGGTGCACGACGAAAACTTGGAAGGATGACCACCTCTGCCGTACGGAGAATGAACCCGTGTGTTTAGTGCGGAACTGTGGGCAGGACTTTGTCAACCTTGTGAGTCTTGGTCGGAAGTATGATCGCAGAGAAAAACGCGACTCGTCCGAACAAAACCGGTAAATTATTATTCAATTAAAGCCGGTGTTTGCACTAAGTAATACCAATTCTCGGACTGAAAATTGGTTCCGTGTCAAAAATACAATCATTAATCTGGACGACCCGATGCCACCTGCAGCTGGGATGTTCATACAAATGGGTTTTAAATTCTAATTAGTGCTCGTCGTCTTCCTCCCCTCGTCCTCCTTTGCCAGACGGTCATGCTCTTCAATATCACTGAAAACAAAAAATACGGTAAATCATTCATCGCCGATGTTGGCGAGCAACTCTTACATAGCTTCCCACGGGTAATCAAGCCTTATACTTCGGTTAGACTCTCATCACAAGCCAAGGAATCAGTCTTACCACACGTCCTTCACCTCAGCACCTACGAAGTATCTGATGGAAAATTTAGGAAAAGATGAGAAATTGACGCTTGTGGTAGTACTCACGGGGTATCTGGTGGCAGCTTTCCAAGTTTCGTCTTGAGCTTGTTGTGCACCACGAAGATCGCAAACTTGGTGCGTTTCGAGTCACGCTCAGATTCTGGAAGCATCTCAAGTTCTGCTTCGACATCTTTCTGGAGCTCGTTCAATGCATATCTGTACGAGTGCATAGGATGAGCGTGTGTCAGTACAAACCAACAAGACCTATTTTTGTCGAGCTCTTACTGAAGAGTTTTGCGCGTATCGTCGACTTCATCCTTTCCAAATTATTGGTTGGTTGGATTCATGTAATAAAAACCGAGGAGTTAGAGCTTACAATAATCAACGCGCGTCTTCCGAGCAATCTTTTGCCCGGGTCTGGCCCTCTGTCGAAATAACCCGTGTCAATATTAGATCAGTGTGTGCGACTGATAACGCCATACAGCCACTGGGTGCGAACGACCTCGCCGCCGAGCTGCTCTGCAGTTGTACCAGGAAGAGATTCATAGAGTGAGAGACCAATGGCTTGTATGGGGATATTCCTTTTCGTTGAAGAGTCTTTCAGGAATGTGCGCTGTGAGTTCGGATAAAAGGCGGTTCAGAAGGTAGGTCGGGCCGTATGATCGCTTGTGCACGACATACCAACACACGAGCTGGGAAAAAACCACTGTCGGATGAGAGTTGAGTTCAGGTCACAATAAATAACACCGATTAGATGGGATAGAAACTGACCCTCCCCCTAACACGAGCATTAGAAATATAAAATGAAAGAGTAAATTGGCATACCAATCGCAATAAACATATCAGGGTTAAATTCAGACGCAATCTTGTCCGAGGTTCCTCTGATGATGTTGTGTATGTCATTGTAGGTCAATCTGACGTGCTCTGGATCCTCCATCGTGCTAGAAATCGCGAACTGGGCGGATGGTACAGCTTGATCAAAAAAGATAAACACGTGGCTGTGCGTTATTCTGGGCTAGGCTTAGACTGCTACGTAAGACTAATTTTTTCACGATAATTATCTAGGTTTATGGCAGACAGTTCCTCTACGAACAATGCAGCTGCGTCCTCGACGCCGTCAGGCACTCCAGGACCACCCGCACCGAAAGCCATAGGCAGTCTGGCCAAAAAGCCTTCTGATGTGACCAGACAAGGAACACAAAAGCTCAAATTCGTGCCCACTCTACCATCACGAAGAAAGAAAGAGTAAGTCAACGTAAAGCCCAAATCTACAGTCGCTCATGACGTCGTTACCAGGGAAATCAAACAGGTGTGTTGCGTAGAGCACATCTACGCGAATTAGCATCATACTGAACTGGACGCAGGAAGCACCTCCGCCAACCATCCCTGCTACGTCTACTGATCGTGGACGTGGACGTGGGCGGGGAAGGGGCAGGGGAGGAGAAGGTCGTGGTGCCGCTCCCCGCCCTCCTCCAGTAGAAATGACTGCCAGTGGGCCATTCGCTATGGGACCTGCTCTCGCAGGCACCTCAGCTCGGCGCAGCGCTCCTCGCTCCAATTTTACACCCATCGTTCCATTGGGACCTGGAAGTGCAACTGCTCTTGGTGCTGGTCTCTCTGGAGCTTCCGGTCCTTCGTTGAAGAGGGAGAAGGAGACTGTAGCACCGATCGTTGACGAGGATGAATACTCTGATCCGGACGAAGGTGTCGAGATTATCGACATGGAGAACGTGAGGCAGATGGACTGGATGGCTCCAGAAAGCTTGCGCAAGGAACGTAAAGAAAAGAAGAAGAAAAAGATCAGCCAGATGAAGATCGAGGACCCATCGTCACCTTCAGGTATAAATAAGAAAGGTAGACTTTTCCAAACATCTTTCCACCACCTGAAGCTCAGTCAGTCTTAGACGAGGCTATGGACGTCGAAGAAGTAGATTTGGCTAATGCCCTTGACCTTAGCGAGAGCGAGGAAGAGGAAGAACTAGAAGACCTCATAGATGATTTCGCGCTGCAAGGTGAAGCGGACCAGGTCATTGTCCCAAATTTCTTATCTGGTACTCGCGCTCATTCTCAATATAGGACGCAGACGTACGCCAAGAACGTCTCTACTTCTTCCAGTTCCCTGAGCCGTTCCCAACATTTGTACCCAACATGTCCACCAGTCCGACGGCAATGAGTGTTGATGAGCCCCCATCAGATAGTCATTCACGTAAAGTGTCTTTTGCAGCAGACGTAAAGCCACCAGGTCCTAGCGGAGATCCAGCAGGCGCATCCACAGGGCCAGAGGCAGAACAGGCGAAAGAAATACCAAAAATTGATGGTGTCATCGGGCAGCTCGAAGTCTATCGCAGCGGTGCCATCAAGATGCGCCTTAGTAATGGCATCCTTATGGATGTTTGTCTATTTCCTATATTCGTATCACTTGTGTTGATAGTTGGATCTAGGTAACTGGTGCAACTCAGCCATCATTCTTGCAGCAAGCTGTCCACCTGGATCTGCAAAACAAACGCTTGCATGTCATGGGAGAAGTCAACAAGCGGTTTGTTGTTTCGCCGGACATAGATACCCTTCTTCATGCTATGGAGTTGCGCGATCAAGCCGAAGCTAATGCCATGCCAATCGATGATACAAATTTGATCAAGATGGGCTAGTAGTCTGTAAAATTCAAATGCCGTAGTAAAGAATAATCGTAATGTTGCACATGCAGGAGACAGCGGACAGCGAAAACGTGTATGCGTGACAAGAATGTAAAAGAGAATGCGATAGGTAACGAAAACATGATGGATGATTATGTATGGTCCGGATTGTACACTTGCTGGAATGATAATAGCACTGGTTGTGGCGCAGACGTCCTCGAACTGGAACCTGCATTACTTTCATTGGGATGCCTCCTTGGTTCCATGATCGCGGCCCGCAGTGCAGGGTCGAAGAATGGTGAAGGCGCGTTGATATCCTCCTGAGAATTTGCAGCGTAGTGTGGCTCGAATGTCTGAGCAGACGGCAGTTCAAATTCCCTGGTGGCTGGCAATACGAGATTGGGATTTGATAGAGCTGCGTAATACTGAACGATGGACGCATCAGCATCGGACAGCTCAGATAATGGTCGGTCTGAACTGGATGGGCTTGCATTTGAAGCTGACGAGCTGAATGACGTGCAGGTAATGCCGCTCTTCTGGGGTCCGAGCACGTCTGGATTACCGGGGTTTATAGATGACCGATGAGATTGTGACTGACAGTCTGTCTGCGCGGCCTGAAGGGAGATGAAGGCACGCTCACGCAGTCTATGGAGCACAGGCTAGAAACGTGTCAGAAAGAGCATGTAATCGTAAGGCTTGAACTGTATTACTATAGTTGCTGGAGGCCGACAAGGAGATGATCCCTCTTCGTAAAGCACCATCCCCCGATCCAGTTCTTGCAATGCGTTCGACGCGAGAGTACATTGTGGACTATCCACCACTATAGCTCCCAGAACGATCTGCTCGCCATATAAGATGCGTTGTCAAGATGAACTGCATAGACTTACGCATGCAGAGAAGATAGCCGACCAGAAGAACCACGTTTGGTCCGTCGGTTGAGAATGCACTCGGTACAACCCATTAAGGCTAGAGATCAATCGACATGCACTGCGATATACAGCCAAGACGGAGGGCGCATATTTGTGCTGAAGGGGGTTGGCAGGGGCCTCTCGAAAAGCCTGTACGAACCAGCTCCGATGGATGTACATCAGATCTATCCATCATTAGTCTATCACTGATCCGAAGTACGAAGATTCCAACTTACTTGCTTCCTTGTGACACAGTGCAGCATATTGCTGCATTGCCTTAGGGGCTTCTGGAGACCAAGCACGTCCCACTTCTGAGGCTTCCATTGGTGATTGTAGATGTGACGGCAGGTCGAACTTCCGTATCTTTCGATCCAACTCGAGCAATGCAGAATAGCTTGGCACACGCGTGTTAAACACATGGTGCACAGAGATCCCTAAACAGCTTGCTGAGTAACGAAACTTCCAGGCATGCCCTAAAATACGTAAAATGGCGGACATGAAACGCTTCGCACAGAAAATAGTCAGATGAAACTTACATCCCATCTCAATCGCACCTGAAGGTTTGATCATGGGGTCGAGATCTTCTGGAAACCAGCAGTCTGTGTGGTTGATACTCAATGCAGGTGGGCGACCATTGATGATGCTCTTTAAAACAGCTCAGCGAATAAAAAGATCAAGTATAAAAGAACGCACCGTCCACGCGTCGACCGAGTAGATTTCCCAAAACAAAATGCGTCGTCTTTGTATTTCTTCCTGCCCTAGATCCCACCCAGCGTTATCGCGTTCTGTGATTCGTCCATCAGTGCGCGGCACCGATCTGATACGGGAAGATACTTACGTAGACCAATCTGTAACATGGCATGTAATTGTGAGTTCTTCGGTTCGGCAGTAATATGCTCACCAGCTGTGCAACTCTCGCCACCACGCCCAACAGAAGCCACCTACATTCGTTATTCGCACGATCGGACTGGTAGATATGCCCAAAGGTCATGAAGAGGGCCTGTACAGTAGCGCAAGTAGCATCTTGGTAGATAGGATCGAGAGATAGCGCCGCACGGGAAAGGGCATGGTACTGTTCAGCAAGCACCTTTGAAGATGATGATTGTTCGTAAAGGGATCCTGAGGCTAGCACAATGAAAAAAACGGAAAGTCGGTGCGAGTGGATGTTGTCGACATTAGGGGAACCGGTGTGGCCATACAATGGGGATAGGATATTTGTCATGAAGTCATCTCGTACAATTGGGTCGAACCTAAGATTCCGTGGGTTAATGAACATCGGCTGCAGCGTGTACTATGAGCTCACATCCATGCAACATTTCGATAATATAGCTCCATGAGGTGTAGTGCTCGTTCATAGGAAGGGAGAAAGGGCAAGAAGAGAAATTTCGTATATTGACTGTCCCTCAGACCGAAGGGGTATGCATTGCAGAGATCGATGATCTCAAATGGAAGGCCCAAGTATTTGGGGTCAACGCTCTGCTGTGGTGTATGACTGCCAGGCTATTGTGTAGTTTATATGAGCGATATTGTCTTCCGAAAACGAAGTTCAACAAACCGGAAACAATGGTTGAAAGTACTGAATGGCGCATATAGTCAGGGGTTTAGTACAAACACGACCAAAATAGGTTGCCTCACCTCTGACCCAACGGATTCGCCGCGATATTTGGTGCGGCCATCGGTATCGATTGATAAAGATCCGATGCTTTCTGATACATTGTGAACTTCATCATCGTAAATAGTCCGAACCTCGGGCAGTTCAGCCGGATGTTCGTGTGACTGGGAGGGAGTTTGTAGGAGAGGATGTGGTCCGCTTCCAGCGCGATTGGATTTCTGGGATTCATGAAGTGCTTCTTCAAGCTCTTTTATTCTTCCTGTCATAGTTTTTACCTGGTCTGACAATCGCTGAGCATGGACCATGAGAACTCTTTCATAAAGAAGGTAAAGTTAGATTCCGAGTCGGAACTGAAGTACAGGAAGCAAGAAGGACGCACTTGTTTCCTTTCGTGGCAGAAAGAGTGCCTAGGGCGTCGCGGATGAGATAAAATGAAGATTATAAGAGCGAAGGTGTTACCCTCTGGGCATATATTCGCACATCCACGTCGTATACATGACTGACACGGGAAGACTCTGCAGAAGTCAGGTATCGAAGTGCAGATAGACTTGCTTATTGGGCTTACCTGTCGCACTTGAGCTTGGATCTAGACGAGTTCAAGGTCAAGTAGGACGGGTAATCTCAAGTGAGTGACGGATATGACATACCGGCGACATTCCGCGCATGACATTCCGGACTTTCTGGTACCCCCTACATTATGCATGCTAGGATTGAGGTTCCTAACACGTAGACTGCTCTCGACGTCGATATTCATGGTGGGACATCTATGTCGTGAAGATGAAGGTAGGTATTCAAGTTGAAAAATTGGGCGCGATTACCTGGTTTTTAGTGATGGGTCGGAGTCCCCTTTCCTCTTCCTGGTGGGACCGCACCAGTCGCCTGCAGATTTACTAGCTATTTTCCGAACGCCATGAGCCAAAGTCGTGATCAAGGGAGTAGGAAGAGTTACCGGGGTAGTGGAGCCAAGACAAGAACACTGGTCTCAGTTTACAAAAACGTGGATTTAAAATGGAGGACTAGGATGATCGACGAGTCTTATGCTGTTCCGAGGGCCGACGATGTTACATGTTGAGTTCAAGGTTGAGGTTTATGTAGGCTACTGCCATCTTACGTTCTGACAATCTTATAGCTATCGTCCAGTGATAACATCGATTCAGGCCACCATCGAGCTCAACAGATAAATTTAAACAATTCCATTTACATTTCTACAATAAGCTAACCATATCTGAATAAACAAAATAGTCAGTGATCGTCGACAACGTAGAAAAAAGGAATGAATAATTCAGTCAAAGCGGAAGGATACTGCCAAAGCAGCTCCCCCGAAGGTAGCTGAGATAAATTTCTGCACCGCAGGGTGCGCTCCTGCTAAAGCCAAATGCCTCAAACATCATAATAAACCCAACAAGGTTCAAGTAAAACATAAATCGATGGACGAAAAAAACTCACCATATCAGAGTGAAGAAACAAAAATTGCATTGTGGGAACATTTTATACTTCCACCATCTCGCCTGGCTAACTCCGACAGGCTTCTTCCGGCCCTCACTGTAACACCGTAGATCATGTCGACCCCAGGAGCATTTGCAGACTCGCCAACGGCACAATCTCAGCCTTCTCCTTACGCATACTACCCCCCGGGAACATTTCCTGATGTATCTCAAACCCAGTCCTCTCAAACCGCTACCACGGCAGCAGCCTCAAGCTCCTCTACGACCGCAACGACTCAGCCACAATCGCGTCAGGCAGCCGAGGAAGCCCGCAAGGATCGCACCCTAGCTGAATTCCTTGTGATGCTTGATGATTATGAACCCTTGGTACGCGTGTAGCTTTCATAATTCAAGTGGAGCTCAAAGTCCTGTCCAGATTCCCAATGAAGTAACAGACTACTATCTCCAGAGGGTGGGATTTGAATGCGAAGACGTGCGGCTGTGAGTATTCTAGGTCGTTTTCTGGTATAGACCGAGTCATTACGTCCATTCTACATGTGCAGAAAACGCCTGCTTTCATTAGCCGCACAGAAGTTCGTATCCGATATTGCTGCCGATGCCTACCAGCATGCTCGTATACGTACCAACGCCATGGGTGGCCGTGCCAGAGGCCCCCTCACTGGGCCAGGGTCAAAGGTACGCCACTGTTCTTTACTACCCTGGATTGCATAAAATTCCCTGCTCCTAGGATAAGACAAGAACCACGCTAACCATGGATGATTTGAGTGCCGCGTTGGCTGAGTACGGTATTAATGCTAAAAAACCAGAATTCTATCTGTAAGCATGCAGAGTGGCGTTTTCATCCATCACTTGTTCCAATGTATTCTAGGTAGTAGCAAGCATAATAAACCGAGAGCAAGTGAACACTAAACTCGTATGAACTGTCTTCCTTGATAATCCGCGGACATTTGCAGATATGACTGCAATTTTAACTTCTGAACTTCATGAATTCAGTCAAGATTCTACATGCGCTTCACAGGCAGCAACCGCGTCCAGCCGCTCATCGACCGGTTCTCCGGGCCCGACCGGAGAAAGGTTTACTCCATGGCGGAAGTTCCATTCGTTGTGCAGGTTCATCATGATATATAAAGTCTTGGCGAGTACGTCCCAACCTTTAGCGCGTTAGGCCGCGACTAAGCCCAACTCAGTAGTAGCTAGTAGTACCATGTTATGCCCTAATTGGACACCATCGAAATACACTTATCTCTGGGTCTACCCGTGTTCAGCGGGAGTGTCTGCCCTTAGCTTTCCCTTGGAATCAAATCTCTTTCGGCATCGGTGATATACTTCTTCACAGAACGACAGGAGCCTCATGTGTACAACAGACATGCTGAATAATCTCGCACGCGGCCCCAGTGTGCCCACCGCTAAAAATATAAACGGACATTCTTGCTCTTGACACGACAATTCCGCAAATGAGGGGATGGATTGAACTTTGCACTTCGACTGCTAGATAGGGATGCTGTTACAAGTTCAAACGAAAGGACGGGACGAACCAGCAATGTCCGCGCACAGGGCGAGGTTGCTCCATTTCGAATGCTCGTTTGACCAGGAATATCTCACTGAAATGAAAAGGACGATACAGAGACCCCCTGTACAGTGGCATGTATGAATTCTACTCGGGATAGGTTTAAGACTGGAAGTGTGGAAATGACATTAGCGCATTGGTAGATCCCAGATACTTGTTTTTGCTGGGTCTTATGTATCCGACCGAGTCTTGCTCGCACGAGCTTGAGTAACATTGGGAGTTTTTGTGGTCGTCTGTTTTCAAACAAGCGTCGAACGACGGTCAGTCAGTTGCATCGGAAATATTTTCCCTTGGCGCGATTTCCGACGAACGATGCATCGTTGACTGTCGTTTGAACTTTTAAGCTCGTATGACACAATAGCACTATCTCTGTATTCTCCACTTTGTACTCGGAAGCAAGAGACTGAGACAACCAGTCACATTTCACATGCGCACACGAGAATACAAACTGGATTTAGAATTTCAAGCGGTCAATATGTGACTCATCATCACGCGCACAAGTGTGGCACATGGGAGAGGACTTGAACAACGAGGAAAACATAAGAGACTCGGACTAGAAGTACATGCAGGACCGCGAGTGGTGGGGAATGGCCTTCAACGTTTTGGGCGGTGGAACTCTAGGTCATGTGGAGAGAGAAGGAAGCCAACAGGTTGTTGCATGATTCGGTCGTAGGAGACCTTTGGTATCGAATATTTTGTGAGGATGCTAGGCAGCGAGTAGGGATAAGTATGGGTGGTCGGTGGTAGCCTTTAACCTCTTGTATTGCTCCAGGTCGTAGATGACAGCGAGGAAGGCTGGTGCGCATCGTTCGGGATGCAAGTATGATTGTTAAACCGCTTGAGTTGGGGTGCGCCAGCGTGCATGTAAGGCCGAGCTGAGCCATGCCACCAGCCTAGCCATCAACAAGAACCGCTAGTCGGCAGGCATCCAAGTCCTTGAAGTAGTCATCGTTATCGGCTACAAGCGCTGTGTCCAAGTCTGTGGTAAAGTGTTCGTGCCTCTAAATTCTTGATGGAGCGGGTGTGTAGATATCGGCGATATTGAGTGAGTCGTCCTTCAGTTTGAAATCACCTCCGGATAATTAAGAACCATAGTAGCTGTCGACAGGCAGAGCTTCGAAACTGCGGCGCGAACAGAGAGGTGGTCGTCCATGTCATGAAGTGTCTAATGGGTAGCGTCGGATACGACTCGCTTGAAGAACGTAACGACGAGGTGGGGAAGGGGAAAGCCCGGATTTGCATGGATGCTGAAGTCCTTGGTGTACTGAGTCATCGTCGTGTCTGGGTCTATGAGGAAGCGTTTGTGTCGATTCATTGCCAGTGGGAGGGCGTGAGGTGGGGTGAATTTCACCGCTGAGTAATGAGTCTCCTCGCGATTCTGTCAGAGGCAGAGGTCTGCTATGACGAGGCCAGTGGTGACGATTGTGGCCTTTGCCGTGCCGTGAATAATCCAGACTGCGTGCATCGTGGTCCTACTGCTGCATTTTGAAGAAAGAGATAGCGAGACAGCTGGTCAGTGACGCGTGCAGCAAGTAGTATTGTTTGCGGTGGAAGCGGAAATCCGAGTCATCTTGAGAAGTGGTTATCACGGCGAGGTATCCAGGGATAATGGTGCGGGCGGGCAACGGGCGGGTCATGGTACTATTCAAGATATAGTAGGGAGTACTCGAAATTGATCTTGGCAAAATGCTGATACATACACTTAATTTTACATGATGGGTGAATTGATGAGAAATTTCTGTGGCCACTGGCCAGAGCTCGAGTATATCATAATCACCGTTGATTCGCTTGGCACGAACGCGTCAGTCGCATGTTTAGAAAACCAACCCTAGCCAAGGGCGCCTATATGATTCAGACCAAGCTTGGAGTTGACAGAGAGTGGGCGTGATTAACGGGTTTCATGATATAATTACTATGGGTAGGCTATAGGTATTCGTAACTTAATCATCAATCGTCGACCGGATAAACGATAGTCAAAACAATGTCTGCTAGTCTGAGGTGCTTGCGTTACAGGTCGAAGGACTTCACGCAAGCTAGAATGAGTGCAACTGAAGCCTTTGGAGGATATTATCGACATCAGATAAGCTCATTTCCTTCCGAGCAACCTCGAGGAAAACTTCCTTTTCTTCCCCGCTGGTGTTGTCTCTTTTCGAAACATGCCAGTGCTGTGGTTGTTGACCTCGAGAGAAAACTTCGGTGATGTGCGAATCCCTATTGCAAGGCCCGTCAAAATTATACTGCAGAAAAGGCGTGACACGTACTGTTCTAATAGCTGCTTCCCGTCATATAGGTGATCCGACTTTGCAATGAAATCAGGACTGGCGGCCGTAAAGTGATCAAAACTGATGAGATAGTTATCTTTGGGCTGCAGAATCTTCGTCGCCGAAGGTAATATCTCAGAGGCCCTGCGTGTACCCATGTCAGTTTTCTTCTTCTACTCCAAGTACTTATACGTACCGCGACGCTTCTGCAGCAATCAGGTTTTCGATGTCATGTAGCATTTGAGATGCAGCTTCAGATAAAACGTGCGTGTCGTAGTCTTCTACGTTACCAGCATCCGCTATGAGAGCTACGGCTAAGCTTTGATACTAGTAAGGGAATGTGAATGCAAGGAATAATGAGTACGAGTATGTGCTTACTCTTAGATGTATAACTTGCCTTCGGTGAGTTTCCAACGGGTCACCGCTTTCAGGTAGAAATACGAAAGTACAAGCAAAGTCCAATTGACGATGACGATCGGGTTTCTCGCGCTCAAGAACGGATGTAGATGAACCATCTGCAGGAAGCGGCGATGGGACTCGAGAAGGTCGTGGAGTGTCCCCGCTGTGGTCCACCTCCGAACGCCCTTCAAGTGCAGCATCAAGATCTGTGACAGATAATCCATCATTTGCCTTCTCCAGCAGGCAATGTATATTGGTAGAGGATATTGCATCCCCCAAAGCACCCCTGTCAACTTCCACTACAGTGCTCACACTTTCGGCCACGGAGGAATTAGGTTTAATTCCTTCTCGTTCTGTCACCAGTGATTTCGGTTCAGTGCCCTTCCCAAACGTCAACGCCCCGGGCCAACTCCAGTTCCGAACATCCATAGTCATGGCGAGACTAGAAGGCATGCCCAAGAACCCACCAGAGGAATTACCACCAGAACCGACTTCTTTGGCTGCCGCATTTACAGTCGCTCCCTTTTCAGTGGGCGAAGAGACTTCCGGGCCATCATCCGTTTCATGACGTGGTAAATGGCATGGAATTAGAGAGAGGATGTGTCGCGAGAGCGCGGGTGGATGATTAGATTGTCTGTATCTTGTAGACGGAACTACGTGAGGAGGAGAAAGAAACAATGCATCCAGTCCAGCTGGTAATTGCGATGAAAAGGTATCCAGTAGAGGTAGGATAGAGGGGTATAGCGGGTGAAGCGACACACCTGAGTCAAATCGGCAAGTTAACGATAGACACGCGATGCCTAGACACATGACACACCAAGGTCGTCGTTCAACTCAAAACCCTTGCTTATATCCCATGACCACGCCCATACATTAAAGAATCTTTCTAGCTGCAGCTCTAATGCTTCCTGCCCGAGGGAATTCAGGATCGAGGTGAAGGACCCATGTGTAAGTTTGAATTGCTCGTACCCCCGAAGGAAGTGCGCTCGAAGTGCGTAATCGTGAAACGAGCCTTCGTGATAGTCATAAGACGGTTGCAGAGTGCTCGCTTGTTCTTTCTCTTTTCCCTTTCCCTTTCCGTTACCCTTGCCCTTATCCTTTGGTTTGGACAGAAGCATCCGCGGTGTCTTTGCAAGCTCTACCGCCTGGCAAAAACTAGCATGAGAGCGCATCAACAGATCGAGAGTCGGCGTACTGCGTGGATCCAGAAGTCAGGTTCGGGGTTGAGCATTATCATCCTTCTCAGCTGAGAATGTACATTGTGGCAATAGTCACTCGGATGGAATATCCTACTAAGTGATGAGTCTCTTTCACAAGGGGAAAAACCTGGGGCTCTTACTCAGAGAAATTGACAAGCGCCTTGGCAAGTCCAACCTGCCTAAGCATCTTGTCGCGCGAAGTAGCGCGTTCCTGTGAAGTATAGAAAAGAATCTGTGCCTGCTCTTCTGCATCCTCGTCGTCTTTGGACACCTCTTCACTGGGATGTAAAGTCGGGTTATATATCGTCAGATAGAGCAATGCTGGATGAAGCCTACTCATGTAGCGAACCTTAGTTGGTTATAGTGGACGGGAAAGGTTACTTATTGTGAACTTGCAGGTCAAGTGAGTATCACCCACGCCCTTATAAGCTGCTCCCCCACGGTGTCACACTTAAGAAAGTAGTAACTGATTAAGATACGGAATTATGCAGGTAAATAACAACTCGTAGCTCTATAGTCGTGGTATTCCGTCAAACGTCCATGCTATCATCAGCACCCTTCTTCTGCGAATTCATGTCGGAAAATGGGTTCATGTCGGGATCAGAAACTGCTGGTGAGGGTAGACCATTCTGACTACTACCAACCCAAGAGTCAATATTGGCGTGCGCACGAAATAACGAACTGCGCGCGGGGTCGTCATCATAGTCAGGTTCCACCTCGACTGAGGATGTCGGAGAGGCCCTCCATGACGGGTCGGGGAAATCAAACTGATCAGACGCAAGTTCAAGAGGACAAAGAGTAAGACCATCATCAGCAATCAGATCATCGCTCTGCGCCTCCAACGTCGTCGGATCGCCATCATCAAGGGGAGGTGGCGATGATGTAGGAGTCGACCTTGTGTTGGATCGCGGCGTAAGGTATCCTGCATTAGTATGCTGTTGTGTGGAGGGAAAGGGAAAAGGAGTTGCGTCGCTTTCACTAGGCGGTGTCGGAAGTTGTGCCTCTGGTTCTGCAGCGTTTTCTTCCTCCGCTTC